CGAACTTTGAACCGGATTCTGGAGAATACCATCAGTTGAGCCGTGTCTGTTGCTGATCCCAGAATATTCTCTGCTTTACAAATGTATGTTCCTCTGTCTTTCTTTGTCACACTGTAGATTGTCAGGGTTCCATTCTTCACTTCAGTTCTGTCTTCGGGTAAACTACCAACTGACTTGGACCAGGTGATACTTGGTTGCGGCTGACCAGTAGCAGAACAGGTGGTGGTGACGTTCTGATCTTCATTGGCCAGCAGTCCGTTGGATGACAGCATGACCTGTGGAGCGACTATAAAGAAATTTAACTTTAAATGAGGAAGTTGTGATTCACTGTTGGACACATAGTTCCAAGACTGTCTGACACAAGGTCAGAATGAAGACCACCATACGTTTGTCTTATGACCGCGTTCGCAGCTAAATGTTTTGGACAAAGAAGGAAACCTACCACTCGGAAACGTGGGGAAATTTATACAAGAAGCCACTGCAGTGAATTTTTTTCCAAAAGCTGCATTAAGATGTTTTTTCACAAATGTTTTAGGTACCCACATCATCTGGTTCCAGCTATACCATTTTCTGGATTCGTTTTCATATCTAGTACAAATAAACTCAGCTGCCCAGTTAGCTCTGAGACTAGAGGACTGCAATTACAATGCTAGAACAACTTACACTGAACAGTTAATTTGGCAGAGGCATTGACTTGTCCCAGCAAACTGTCAGCTCTGCAGCTATAAACTCCGTCATCACCAGGTCTAACGTCATTGACAATCAGAGTGCCACTAGATTCTACCACGTGACGACCCACAGGAAGTACTGACTTCAGCTTAGACCACGTGACTTTCGGTCTTGGATTACCATCGGCTGTACATTTCATGATGGCCGTCTGAGTTTTATTGACTGTCATTCCAACAGGACGCTCCAGCAAAGATGGAGCCAAGAGGGACTGGCCCGGCTCACCTTTGTCACCTTTCATTCCCGGNGTTCCATTCTTCACTTCAGTTCTGTCTTTGGGTAAACTACCAACTGACTTGGACCAGGTGATACTTGGTTGCGGCTGACCAGTAGCAGAACAGGTGGTGGTGACGTTCTGTTCTTCATTGGCCAGCAGTCCGTTGGATGACAACATGACCTGTGGAGCGACTATAAACAAAATTTGACTTAAAATGAGGAAGTGGTGATTCACTGTTGGAAACTATAGTTCCAAGACTGTCTGACACAAGGTCAGAATGAAGACCACCATACGTATGTCTTATGACCAGGTTCGCAGCTAAATGTCTTGGACAAAGAAGGAAACGAACCACTCGGAAACGTGGTACAGTGAATTTTTTTTCCAAAAGCTGCTTTAAGATGTTTTTTCACATATGTTTTAGGTACCCACATCATCTGGTTCCAGCTAAACCATTTTCTGGATTCGTTTTCATATCTAGTACAAATAACCTCAGCTGCCTAGTTATCTCTGAGACTAGAGGAATGCAATTACAATGCTAAACAACTTACACTGAACAATTAATTTGGCAGAGGCATTGACTTGTCCCAGCAAACTGTCAGCTCTGCAGCTGTAAACTCCGTCATCACCAGGTCTAACGTCGTTCACAATCAGAGTGCCACTAGATTCTACCACGTGACGACCCACAGGAAGTATTGACTTCAGCTTAGACCACGTGACTTTCGGTCTTGGATTACCAGCAGCTGTACATTTCATGGTGGCCGTCTGACTTTTATTGACCGTCATTCCAACAGGACGCTCCAGCAAAGATGGAGCCAAGAGGGACTGGCCCGGCTCACCTTTGTCACCTTTCATTCCCGGTGGGCCTCTAGGTCCCACGGGACCGGGGTCTCCCGGAATTCCAACATCCCCCTTTATACCCATGGGTCCTTGACTTCCTATTGGTCCATGTTTACCGGGAGGTCCGTTTGATCCGGTTCTCCCTGGGGCACCTGGTCTCCCTCGGGTTCCCGGTCTTCCTCGTCTTCCCGTGTTCCCTTTTGGTCCTGCACGGCAGAGCGTGTGATCTTTAGCACAGACTTGGTTTTGCAGCAGACTAAGTTCTTGTTTGATCAACACTTGTATTTCAGAGGCTGTTAGGGTCCATTTCTGTTGTGATTCATCTCGTGAAGAACGTCTTTTTCTTGACAGCGTTTCTTGTTCACCTGAAAAATTCAAATCATTTTCAAATCGTACACTTGATGCCATTTGGTTTTCACCGGTTTGTGTGATGCAATAATCAGACAAACTAGTGGACAAGAGATCTCCGTTTCTATCAGATTGGGTTTCAGTAATATGCCGTTAGCCTCCATATTTCGTATTCATTTGTGTTGGGAACAAAACAGTATCCCGTTCATTTTTTTTCTAAATATCGTGAATCGAGAAAATCCCTGTCGATGGTGGGTGAAGACGACGTTCACCACAATAATTAAGGACTGAAGTTTTTTTTATGAGTTACATGATATGAAACTTACCTTTGGTCGGTTGCCAATGGCGACCTGAAACCTTAACTTGCCATTGTTCATAATTTTGTTGAACTTTTCGCAGGATTTCTGTCACCATGTTATCACAGAATGTTACTGAGTGTGATATCAGTCGATGATGTTCTTGTATGCTGAATTCCACGTGAATTAGCGCGATACAACACACAACAGACAACAGCAAGCCTGACCCGGAACACAAGCGGTCCAGTGTTTGTCTTCTGTTCGTCTGCTTCTCTTCGTTGTCTTGTTTTGATTGTTTCATTACTGCAGCTGTAAAACAAACAAACAGATCGAGATATCAAACCGATACTGAGGCTGTTTTCCTTGCTCTTGAGCTGCTTGCATACCAGTTCACTGTGGGTTTTAATGACGTACGTGAAGACGATAAAAAGCTTTTGATGTTTGAACTGGTTCACTGACGAAAGTGTAACCTGAATGTTGATGTTAGCTGAAAAGAGATAAAAATAGCTGAACTTGTCTGTTCTTGTAATGGAGATTCAATATCACAGGAAGTACATATCAGACATTTATAATCTGTTCGGTCATTCTAGGTGAACTTGAGACTTGTCGAATTTAGTATGGCTTTTTTGTCCATTTCTTGAAAACCGGTCTTAGTTCTTTGTCTTTCCGAAAATCATATCTGACCATTTTCTGGTACTCAAAACGACATTTTTATTAATCGGAAACAATAGGTATTATAAATTTCTCATATCATGATTAAAGTTCCAGGAGACAATCAGTCTTTAGAAAATCGGAGGGATTAAAGGTCTTCCTAACAGATACCTTACCAGGTGTTAAACGAAACGATCCGTTGACATTCCTGGCTGCGTCAGTGTTAGTTCTTGCGCTTACAATGTTCATGTTTTTTATGTTTTCTAAAATCTGCGTGGAAAACTTGAGAGGGAGGTGGAGTTTATAGGTTTTATATGCCATCGGCATTTGTTTACTTTTTAATTACAGAAAGCGGCCGGGAGGGGTTACTGCGGGTGTGTGTATGATTGGTATGAAGCTTATGTCACGTGGTCTCTCTATTGCTGATGTACTCTACTCATCTGAAAAGGAGTTATTGCCCTAAAGAAGGCCTTGTTTTAAAATTGTAACCACCTCCCCCCACCCCTTTCAAAACCACCGGCCCATCTTGGGGAGTAATAAACGATAGGTACCTGAAGTGACAAAATTTTATGTTCGCGTGTGGCTCTTCCCATTTGTTACTTAATGTGATATCAGTCGATGATGTTCTTGTATTCTGAGTTCCACGTGAATAAGCGCGATACAACACACAACAGACAACAGCAAGCCTGACCCGGAACACAAGCGGTCCAGTGTTTGTCTTCTGTTCGTCTTCTTCAGTCCTCTATCATGTTGCTTCATTGCAGCTAGCAGGCAGACAAAGTTGAGATCTCAAACTGATGCTGAGGACCTTGTATTCAATTGTTTCGGCCTTCAACTGTTCAGTATGGGTATGTAAAGACGATAAAAAACTGATGTGTCCGAGTTTCACTGACGAAAGGGTAACATGATTCTTAATGCTAACAGATATGAGATAAAAATAGCAGGATTGTTTGTGCTTTGTAATGGGGATTCAGTATCACAGGAAGTACACTATTACCTTCATATACGTAATTTTAAAGTCTACACAGCATGCATGCTGTAATTAAGACTGCTAGCTGGATGTTTTTGTACTCTTGACCTCGAACTGTTTGATTGTACTCTGTGTTTCCTAATTGATTTCCCAAACTCTGTAAAGAATATCTGGTTGGAAGTTATATCTGCCATCACCATTTGGCTATTTAAGATAGGGGAGGAGGGGACAGGAATGGGAATTGCTACCCGGATAAAGTCTACTCATATGTATGTCATGTGATCCACTTGCCGGTTGCTCAGATATCCGTTAACAAAGGCTTGATACAGCCGGGTTATCATTTTAATGGTGCTGCGATGAATTAATGCCAAAATTACAAGCATGCCTCCGGTCTCATTTAATTTTAAAGCATGGGAACATTCCTTTCTAACTGTTAAGTCTGATCAGCAGCATTTCTTTTCTATTTGCTGATCGGGTTTTCTGTAAAAAGAGCTTTCGTGATTACTATGTAACAGTACAACAATAGAGAGACAGTTTTGGTAGCTGAGAATAACAACATGATCACAGCTGTTACAATAAATATAGTGTTCTCGGGGCTAAAGGTCTTAGTGTACGCCGTCAAACGAAGGAAAACCTGACATGAACCTTCGTAAGCGATAACAGCCGTTCACCGTCAGTGAGCTTTTACTAGACAAGCCTTCTGTACTAACTCCAACTGAGATCGTTCTGGTATCGTTAGGAGAAAATTAGTTACTGACACAGAGAGTAAACAATTTGCCATNGTACTTTGTAATGGGGATTCAGTATCACAGGAAGTACACTATTACCTTCATATACGTAATTTTAAAGTCTTCACAGCATGCATGTTGTAAAAGACTGCTAGCTTGATGTTTTTGTACACTTGACCTCGAACTGTTTGATTGTACTCTGTGTTTCCTAGTTGATTTCCCAAACTCTGTAAAGAGATCTGGTTGGAGGTTATATCTGCCATAATCATTTGGCTATTTAAGATAGGGGAGGAGGGGGCAGGGGTGGGAATTGCTACATGAATAAACACTACTCATATGTATGTCATGTGATCCACTTGCCGCTTAATGATATCCCTCAACAAAGGTTTCTTTCACTTAAATGCTCATCATTTTAAACTTGATGCAGCCGAGTTATCATTCTAATGGTGCTGCGATGAATTAATGCTAAAATTACAAACATGCATCCGGTCTCATTTAATTCTAAAATATCGGAACATTCCTTTTAACTGTTAAGTCTGATCACCACCGTTTCTTTTCTATTCGCTGATCGGGTTTTTGTAAAAAGAGCTTTCGTGATTACTATGTAACAGTACAACAATAGAGAGACAGTTTTGGTAACTGAGAATAACACCATGATCACAGATGTTACAATGAATGTAGTGTTCTCGATTTAAAGGTCTTAGTGAAGGCCGTCAAACGAAGGAAAAACTGACATGAACCTTCGTAAGCGATAACAGCCGTTCACCTCCAACGAGCTTTTACGTGACAAGTCGTCTGTACTAACTCCAACTGAGATCATTCTGGTCTCGTTAGGGGAAAATTAGTCACTGACACAGAGATTAAACAACTTGCCATTGTTTGCATCCAAGTTTGAGCACTCCACAAAAGAACATGATCAGCATAATAGGTTTCAAATCATTTGGAACACCGTAACGCGACCATCACGCGCCTAGTGCACAACCTGCTTGGCGCTCATTTTCAGGGGCACCGAACGGACTAACACTGTAAAATCCCAACGGCAGCAAAATAATCAAGACGTAACGTACCTTTTTAAAGGTAAAAGGCGTTTTAAACAACTTTTATTTCTTCTGAGAACGTTTTAGCTGTTCCACCTCTCTTAGCGGCGAGGCGTTTAGGCGGATTTCTGGCCTGGTATCAAGGGTCACATTTACACTGGGAGGGATGAGGAGGAGGGACACAGGCAAGAAGTAAACTACATTGATTGCCTTTTATAAAGGTCATCCTTCCATTTAGGGAACATTAATTTAAGCAAACATTCCGAACCATAAAATTAACTGAGGGTATCCTTATCGTACACCTATTTTACGGAAGACCTCTTTTGTTGGGTGTGCCGTTCGTCTCATCGAATGTCAAAATGCCTCCAAAATAAGTACAGGGAAAGCTTCAGAAAAAGATTTCCTTTGTCAGGGAACTCCTGGCTTGAATTTTGTTCTTACTTATAGCTCTTTAGTAGTCGTGCAACCATGTTTGATACCCCTTATAATAGCTCACGTTTGTGGTGAAGTGTCCATCCCATCAGATATAAGCAACGGTATATTTAGAACCCGATCTGCCTCTCTTTAATAGTGTTGTCGAGGAGTCACGATCTATGCCAGATAATTTGCTTCGTCCTTTGAATCTATTTCTAAAATAGTTGTTGTTGCGAGACTGATGAGTTTGCTGTGCGCGAGCACGAGATTGACGCGAGGTCCTCTGAAGTTGCTGTAACCCGTTTTTTCAGCGAAGCGAGACTCATTCTGCTACGGCAATTTACAAAGCGGTGGCTAGGCGCGAAATAGCGCTTTCATTTATTTACCCTTTCTTTCTTAGGTGGTTTTAAATAATGTAACAGCGCTAACTTAAATGCTTTATTTTTTTACATGCATATGCCGGTTTAATTGTATCTTAAAGAGTTCAGTGACTGGACTAATAAAATTTGTCACACGTTGGCCGAGAGCAGAGCTACTGTCCACAAAAACAAATTATAACAATAATGATTGTTACATATACTGAGATTGCCATAACTTGGAGCATGAAAATCAAAGTGAAGATGGTCAGTTACCCTATACCATAGCATTTTAGTTTTCCCAGTGTGTGATAACCTTTGTTACTACCGGATGCATCCCCAAACCTGAGCTGTCTAACTGGCAGATGCGTCTTGTCAGTGAGGAGACCGCTGTCTTCACGCCATACATTGTCATTCGTATCACAGTTACAACCATAACTTGGGTATGCACATGAGTTGGTCATCCCGCATGCGCACTTACCACTGCCAGGTGATGCTCCACCCCAGTACGTCATCTGACTAGAATCGCGTGACACCCACCAGGCATATACTCCGTAACTAGTTAACATCACTGAACCATAGCACTCATACTTGATAAACTGCTCACAGTGTGATGAGACTCTGGTGAGACTCGCCAGCTTTGAAAAACTCGCTCCTGTGTAATGAATGTCACGTGAGTAACTACCACGACCGGTATACCCATTCCCATTCACGTACGTTCTGCTCTCACTGTCGTGACTGATAACTGTCACGCCAACTCCATTCTTGTCACTCATGTCACAATTAACTGTAAATGGTGACAGACCTCCCGCGCCATCTGGGTCAATGACGTAATTGCCGCTTACACCGCTGACGTATTTTCTTATTACAGAACAGGAAGTTGCCACTGGAGAATTGACTTTGACTTTAGCTTCTATAGTTGTCAAAGCATTAGTAGCTTTACAGGTGTAAGATCCCTCGTGCGATTTCTTAATGTTCCTTATAAGCAGTGTTCCATTCGGTAGAAAATTGGACTCCACAGGTAGTGAAGACTTGCCATCCTTGGTCCAGGCGATTGTTGTTCTCAGGTCACTCTCGGCCACACACGGTAAAAGAACACTTGCACCAAACGCATGGGGAGTCACTTCAAGAGGGGGACGAACTTTGAATTTCAGGGGAGAAAATATCGTGAGTTGAGCCGTGTCTGTTACTGATCCTAGAATGTTCTCCACCTTACATATGTATGTTCCACCGTCTTTTCTTGTCACACTGTGTATTGTCAGGGTTCCATTAAACACTTCAGTTCTGTCTTCAGGTAAACTACCAACTGCTTTGGACCACGTGATACTGGGAAGCGGCTGACCAGCAGAAATGCAGGCAATGGTGACATTTTGTTTATCTTCAGCCATTAATCGATTGGATGACAATAAAAGTTGAGGAGGAACTGTGGAGGAAAAGGAAAATTATGACTATTCGCTCAAAGATACCGGCATAGTTTATGTTATTTTTTGTCTGCGGTTTAAGACCCATCCACACCGCTACGTCGGGAGAAATTTGAAAACGCATCTTTATTTCTACGTTTCAAACTGGACAAATTTGAAATCACCGGCTTCGTGTTTTAGCGTGGACAGAAAACAATTTGAAAACAGTGATTTTCGAAAACGATGACAGCACGATAATCATGTGATTTCCCTGCCCGAGTTTTCCTCAAACACAAATCCAAAATGACTGCTGGTTGTTGCGTTTTTAAACTTCTCCAGCGTAATGTGGAAGTAAAACATTTGATGTGTTTTCGGAGCAAAAACTTTGTTTTCAAATTTCTTCGGCGTAGTGTGGACGGGGCTTAAGTGTAAGGCCACTCGTTGTGAGATTTCCAACTTTAAATATTAAAGATGAGACTAAGAAGGACTTTAGAACATAAGGGTCACTTGTTAAAAGGGTAGATAACGTTATCAACACCATAAATCACTATTCAGTGGATTAGTGTTGCCAAAGCAAACTACGCTATCCACTTAAGAGTGTTTTGCAGGCCGGATAGTTCTAGCCAAGCTTTCAACAACTTGCCCATGCTACTTCGTGAATTTTTGACTGTTCGTGGTTGTTTTCCTGAAATTCCATTCTAAAAGATATCCTCATGTTATATTTATCGTATATCTAAGTGTTTCTCTTCCAATACTGCCTGTACTACACAGCATCAAGCTCTAATCCTAAAAATTCAAATGCATAAGTTGGGCTACGTACACTGAACAGTCAGTTTTGCCGAAACATTCACTTGTCCCAGTAGATTTTCCGCTCTGCAGCTATAAACACCGTCGTCTCCAGGTCTAACGTCCTTCACAATCAGAGCGCCACTGGACTCTACCACGTAACGACCCACAGGAAGCGATGAATTCAGCTTAGACCACGTGATCTTTGGACTTGGATTACCATCGGCTGTACATTTCAAGATGGCCGTCTGACTTTCATTGACTGTCATTCCAACAGGACTCTGCAACAGAGATGGAGCCGAGATGGACTGGCCCGGGCCACCTTTGTCGCCTTTCATACCCGGCGGGCCTCTAGGTCCCACGGGACCGGGATCTCCCGGAATTCCAACATCCCCCTTTATACCCATGGGTCCTTGACTCCCTATTGGTCCATGTTTGCCAGGAGGTCCGCTTGAGCCGGGTCTCCCTGGTCTCCCTCGAATTCCCGGTCTTCCTCGTCTTCCCGTGTTCCCTTTTGGTCCTGCATGGCAGAGCTTGTGATCACAGACTTGGTTTTGTAGCAGTCCAAGTTCTTGTTTGATCAACACTTTTATTTCAGAGGCTGTTAGGGTCCATTTCTGTTGTGATTCATCTCGTGAAGAACGTCTTTTTCTTGACAGCGTTTCTTGTTCACCTGAAAAATTCAAATCATTTTCAAATCGTACACTTGATGCCATTTGGTTTTCACCGGTTTGTGTGATGCAATAATCAGACAAACTAGTGGACAAGAGATCTCCGTTTCTATCAGATTGGGTTTCAGTAATATGCCGTTAGCCTCCATATTTCGTATTCATTTGTGTTGGGAACAAAACAGTATCCCGTTCATTTTTTTTCTAAATATCGTGAATCGAGAAAATCCCTGTCGATGGTGGGTGAAGACGACGTTCACCACAATAATTAAGGACTGAAGTTTTTTTTATGAGTTACATGATATGAAACTTACCTTTGGTCGGTTGCCAATGGCGACCTGAAACCTTAACTTGCCATTGTTCATAATTTTGTTGAACTTTTCGCAGGATTTCTGTCACCATGTTATCACAGAATGTTACTGAGTGTGATATCAGTCGATGATGTTCTTGTATGCTGAATTCCACGTGAATTAGCGCGATACAACACACAACAGACAACAGCAAGCCTGACCCGGAACACAAGCGGTCCAGTGTTTGTCTTCTGTTCGTCTTCTTCAGTCCTCTATCATGTTGCTTCATTGCAGCTAGCAGGCAGACAAAGTTGAGATCTCAAACTGATGCTGAGGACCTTGTATTCAATTGTTTCGGCCTTCAACTGTTCAGTATGGGTATGTAAAGACGATAAAAAACTGATGTGTCCGAGTTTCACTGACGAAAGGGTAACATGATTCTTAATGCTAACAGATATGAGATAAAAATAGCAGGATTGTTTGTGCTTTGTAATGGGGATTCAGTATCACAGGAAGTACACTATTACCTTCATATACGTAATTTTAAAGTCTACACAGCATGCATGCTGTAATTAAGACTGCTAGCTGGATGTTTTTGTACTCTTGACCTCGAACTGTTTGATTGTACTCTGTGTTTCCTAATTGATTTCCCAAACTCTGTAAAGAATATCTGGTTGGAAGTTATATCTGCCATCACCATTTGGCTATTTAAGATAGGGGAGGAGGGGACAGGAATGGGAATTGCTACCCGGATAAAGTCTACTCATATGTATGTCATGTGATCCACTTGCCGGTTGCTCAGATATCCGTTAACAAAGGCTTGATACAGCCGGGTTATCATTTTAATGGTGCTGCGATGAATTAATGCCAAAATTACAAGCATGCCTCCGGTCTCATTTAATTTTAAAGCATGGGAACATTCCTTTCTAACTGTTAAGTCTGATCAGCAGCATTTCTTTTCTATTTGCTGATCGGGTTTTCTGTAAAAAGAGCTTTCGTGATTACTATGTAACAGTACAACAATAGAGAGACAGTTTTGGTAGCTGAGAATAACAACATGATCACAGCTGTTACAATAAATATAGTGTTCTCGGGGCTAAAGGTCTTAGTGTACGCCGTCAAACGAAGGAAAACCTGACATGAACCTTCGTAAGCGATAACAGCCGTTCACCGTCAGTGAGCTTTTACTAGACAAGCCTTCTGTACTAACTCCAACTGAGATCGTTCTGGTATCGTTAGGAGAAAATTAGTTACTGACACAGAGAGTAAACAATTTGCCATCGTTTGCATCCAAGCTTGAGCACTTCACAAAAGAACATGATCAGCATAATAGGTTTCAAATCATTTGGCGTTATTTGGAACACGGCCGTAACGCGACCATCACGCGCCTAGGGTACAACCCGCCTGGTGCTCATTTTCAGGGGCACCTAACGGACTAATACTGTAAGATCCCAACGGCAGCAAAATAATCAAGACGTAAAGTACCTTTTTAAACAACTTTTATTTCTTCTGGGAACGTTTTAGCTGTTCCGCCTCTCATCAGCGGCGGGGAGTTTAGGCGGATTTCTGGCCTGGTATCGAGGGACACATTTACACTGGGAGGGATAGGGAGGGGGAACACAGGGAAGAGGTAAACTACATCGATTGCCTTTTAAAAAGGTCATCCTTCCATTTAGGGAACATTAATTTAAGCAAACATTCCGGACCAAAAAATTAACTATTCTACGGAAGACCTCTTTTGTTGGGTGTGCCGTTCGCCTCATCCAATGTGGAAATGCCTCCAAAATAAGTACAGGGAAAGCTTCAGAAAAATATTTCCTTTGTCAGGGAACTCCTGGCTTGAATTTTCTCCATACTTATAGCTACTTGGTAGTCGTGCAACCATGTTTGATACTCCTTATAACAGCTCACGTTTGTGGTGAAGTGTCGATCCCATTAGATATAAGCAACGGTATATTTAGAACCCAATCTGCTTCTCTTTAATAGTGTTGTTGAGGAGTCACGTTCTATGCTAGATAATTTGCTTCGTCCTTTGAATCTATTTCTAAAATATTTAAAGTTGCGAGACAGATGAGTTTGCTGTGCGCGCGTGCACGAAGATAACGCGAGGTCCTCTGAAGTTGCAGCAACCCGTTTTTTCAGCGAAGCGAGACTCATTCTGCTACAGCAACTTACACAACGGTGGTTAGGCGCGAGGAAGCGCTTTCATTTATTTACCCTTTCTAGGTGAGGTGGTTTCAAAGAATGGTTTTTGTACATGCACATGCCGGTTTAATTATATTTTGAAGAGTTTAGTGACTGAACTAATAAAATTTGTCACATGTTGGCCGAAAGGGCACAGCCACTGTCCCCGAAAAAAAATTATAACGATAATGATTGTTACAAATACTAAGGGTGCCATAACTTGGAGCATGAAAATTAAAGTCAAGATGGTCAGTTACGCTATACCATAGCATTTCAGTTTTCCCAGTGTGTGGTAACCTTGGTCAGGGCCGATTGCGTCCCCAAACCTGAGCTGTTTAACTGGCAGACTTGTCTTGTCAGTAAGGAGACCGCTGTCTTCACGCCATACATAGTCATTCTTATCACAGTTACAACCATAACTTGGGTTTGCACATGAGTTGGTCATACCGCATGCGCACTTACCACTGCCAGGTGATGCTCCACCCCAGTACGTCATCTTACTAGAATCACGTGACACCCACCATGCCATTTCGTCTCTGCGTAGTTTTGAATGATAACACTCGTACTTAATATACTGCTCACAGTGTGATGAGACGCTGGTGAGACTCGCCAGCTGTGAAAAACTTGCTCCTGTGTAGTGAATGTCACGTGAGTAACAACCTTTAGGATAACATCCTATTACGATTATTCTGCTTTCTCTGGCGTGACTGATGACGGTCACGCCTACTCCATTCTTGTCAATCATGTCACAATAAACTGTAAATGGTGCCAGGCCTCCTGCGCCATCTGGGTCAATGGCATAGCTTCCACTTACACTTCTGACATATTTTCTTATTACAGAACAGGAAGTTGCCATAACTGGAGAATTGATTTTGACTTTAGCTTCTATAGTTGTCAAAGCATTAGTAGCTCTACAGGTGTAAGATCCCTTGTGTGATTTCTTGATGTTTCTTATAAGCAGTGTTCCATTCGGTAGAAAATTGGACTCCACAGGAAGTGAAGACTTGCCATTCTTGGTCCAGGCGACGGTCGGTTTCAGGTCACTCTCGGCCACACACGGTAGCTGAACGCTTGAACCAATCACAGGAGTAACTTCTTGAGGAGGACGAACTTTGAACCGCAAACGAGAGAATATCATAACTAAAGAAGTGTCTGATGTTGATCCTAGAATATTCTCCGCCTTACAAATGTATGTTCCACCGTCGTTTCTTGTCACACTGTGTATTGTCAGGGTTCCATTCATCAGTTCAGTTCTGTCTTCAGGCAAACTACCAACTGCTTTGGACCACGTGATACTGGGAGGCGGCTGACCAGTAGCAGTGCAGGGGATGGTGACGTTTTGTTTCTCTTCAGCCATTAAACGATTGGATGACAATAAAAGTTGAGGAGGAACTGTCGGGAAAAAGAAAAATTATGATTATTCGGTGGAACATACCGGCATAGTTTATGTCATTTTTGGTCTGCGGTTTAAGCCCCGTCCACATTACGCCGTAGAATCGAAATTTGAAAACGTGACTTTATTTCTACAGCTTTGTCTACCGTCCACGCTAATCCGTCACGAAAACGCTCTTCAAACTGGAGGAATTTGAAATCACCGGCTTTGCGTTTTTGTGTGGACAGAAAACAATTTGAAAACGGAGCTTTTAGAAAACGGTGACGTCACGATAATTATGTGATTTCCTGGCCCGAATTTTCCTCAAAATATATAAATCCAAAATGACCTCTGATTGTTACAGTTTTTAATTTTTCCGGCGTAGTGTCGACGGAAAAGATTTGATGCGTTTTCAGAGTGAAAACGCCGCGTTTTCAAATTTCTTCGGCTAGGTGTAGACGGGGTTCAAGATTTAGGCCATTCGTTGTGTGAGTTAATGCTTTGACTTTAGATATTAAAGATGAGAATAAGTCGGACCTTAGAACATTAGGGTCACTTGTTAAAAATGCAGATAACGTTATCCACAGGATAAATCTTTATCCAGGGGATAAGTGGTCACAAAGCAAACTACGCTATCAGCTGTATAGATCTAGCCGCGATTTCAACAGCATGCCCCAGGACTTCATAAATTGTTGACTGTTGGTTATTGTTTTTCTGAAATTCCATTCTAAAAGATATCCTCGTGTTAGAGTGCCTAAACCACACAGCATCGAGCTCTGTTTCTAAAAATTCAAATACATAAGTTGGGCTACGTACACTGAACAGTCAATTTCGCCGAAACATTCACTTGTCCCAGTAGATTTTCCGCTCTGCAACTATAAACACCGTCGTCTCCAGGTCTAACGTCCTTCACAATCAGAGCGCCACTGGACTCTACCACGTAACGACCCACAGGAAGCGATGAATTCAGCTTAGACCACGTGATCTTTGGACTTGGATTACCATCGGCTGTACATTTCAAGATGGCCGTCTGACTTTCATTGACTGTCATTCCAACAGGACTCTGCAACAGAGATGGAACCGAGATGGACTGGCCCGGGCCACCTTTGTCGCCTTTCATACCCGGCGGGCCTCTAGGTCCCACGGGACCGGGATCTCCCGGAATTCCAACATCCCCCTTTATACCCATGGGTCCTTGACTCCCTATTGGTCCATGTTTGCCAGGAGGTCCGCTTGAGCCGGGTCTTCCTGGGGGACCTGATCTCCCTCGGGTTCCCGGTCTTCCTCGTCCTCCCGTGTTCCCTTTTGGTCCTGCACGGCAGAGCGTGTGATCTTTAGCACATACTTTGTTTTGCAGCAGACTAAGTTTTTGTTTGATCAACACCTGTACTTCAGAGGTTGTTAGGGTCAATTTTTGTTGTGAATCATCAGGTGAAGAGCGTCTTTTTCTTGACACCGTTTCTTGTTCACCTGAAAAATAAGGACACACCCCAAGCCATTTGAACTCCAAGCCATTTGGTATTCAACGGTTTCTGTTCTGCAATAATCAGACAAGCTAGTAGATAAGAGATTTCCGTTTCTATTAGATTGGGTTTCGGTAGACTACGAGTAGTCTCTCTTTCGCTTAGCCCGTCGTGCGTGACGCGAAAGAAAACCGCGAGAAAGAAATGGCCGAGTGAAACCTTGGGGGCGAGGACCGCCTAAGCCAGGGAGTTTGAATTATGTGTTGCTCTCACAACGCAAAAATATGATTGGCTTATGTTAAGAGCGTTGTCAACGCGTTGACAACATTCGAGATACGTGGGAAGTCTTGAAGGAATGTTTATCTCGCTTTCCGACAATAGAAAGCTCTGCCGGAACCGGAGCAAATCGAAGCGTTGGAATTGCGCCTCGCAAGGGTTCGCAAGCCGTGATATTCTTGCAATTCTGCCGACAGGCTTTAGAAAGATTTAAATTTATCAAGTGTTTTGTTTGGCAAAGCTTTCCGCCTCGAGCCTGCATGCGAGCGTGCTAGTGATTTCGCCGCTCAGCAGCATCGTCCAAAAACAATTCAGTGAATATGAATTCACTGAGCTTGGCCTTTCTGCCATCCATTTCAAAGATTGAACCGGACTTTTACTTGAAACCGGATATTCACCTGAAACTTTCAGGTGTTATCGGCAAACGTGTCACCATAGTTGGATGATCTCCTATGTCAAATACATAATCAGGAGCCATAATCGGGGACGGAGACCGTAAGCGCGCGCCATTTCTAGTACTGGGGTTGTCCCAATGATATGGGACAATAATTCTATTTTTAGAACAAATTGCGGCATCGCCTGCGGCACACGCGCGTACATGCTGCGAGGATTTTTGCGGCTGTCGGGCGGGGGGAATGGCGTCTGAAATTCCCGAAATTTTTCATGTTTTTGGCCCACAACTCAACGCGTTTACGTATGTTGGAATTGTCCCATATCATAGGTGCGCGCGAATCCCGAGACTTACGGTCTCCGTCCCCGATTATGGCTCCTGACATAATGTAAATTCTCGGTTGAAAATCTGCATTTGAAATTTTCGCAATAACCTTTAGATTTACACCTACAGACGCAGCAAAGATCGTTGCAAGATGTCTCCTTTGCCGTCTTCTTTTTAAAACTTCTTTGGCAGTTTTGCTGTTCAAACGAATACTGAATGAAGATATACTTCTCACGGTATTTTTTTGCGTCGCTACTTGAAGTGTAGAGTAGCGCGATTTTATTCCCGGGGTTATGGACATCAGGCGATGATATAATGAGGTTAAGATAAGAAATATTACACCGAAAAATCACTCGGCCGTGAAAGGTAAAACTCCCTGGCTTGGGCGGTAGTCCCATTCTCGTCCCCAGAGGCCACGTTTCTTTTGGTCAGCACCAAGAATCACGACGTCTGAATAGGTCCAATGAGATTCCGGTTTTGATTGGCTTTGCAAACACAATAGAATGAGACTGGAACCAATCAGATTTGTCAGACTTGACTCTGAGCATGCTCAGAGTGACGGGAAGTCCGTAAATCGCGGACTTCCGGTGTTGGACCAGGCCAGAGGTCGCGATTCTTGGTGCTGGCCAAAAGGAGCGCGGCCTCTGGGGACGAGAATGGCCGTCCTCGCCCCCAGGTTTTCACGCGGCCATTTTTTTTTCTTGCGGTTTTCTTTCGCGTCACGCATAGTCTGGGGTTTCAGCAACATACCATTTTCTTCGTTATTTCGTATTCATTTGTAACTGGAAAAGACTGGTACCCCGTTTATTTTTCTTCAACATTTCGCGTCTTGAAACGGTCCCTAATAGGGTCTCTATTTTAAAAAGAACTATCAATGGTGTTTGAAGGCGACGCGCACCGCAATAATTCAGGATGAGAGTTTTTATAGAAATATCAGTTACATGATATGAGACTTACCTTTGGTCGGTTGCCGATGGCTGCCCAAAACCTTAACTTGCCATCGTTCATAATTTTGTTCTACTTTTCGAAGGATTTCTGTTTCCATGTTATCACAGAATGTTACTGAGTGTGATATCAGTCGATGATGTTCTTGTATTTTGAGTTCCAAGCGAATTAGCGCGATACAACATACAACAGACAACAGCAAGCCTGAGCCGAAACACAACCGGTCCAGTGTTTGTCTTCTGTTCGTCTGCTTCTCTTCGTTGTCTTGTTTTGATTGTTTCATTACTGCAGCTGTAAAACAAACAAACTGATCGAGATATCAAACCGATACTGAGGCTGTTTTCCTTGCACTTGAGCTGCTTGCAGACCAGTTTACTCTGGATTTTATGCCGTACGTGAAGACGATAAAACGCTTTTGTTGTTAGGAATTCACTGATAGAAGTGTAACCTGAATGTTGATGTTAGCTGAAATGAGAAAAAAATAGCTGAACTTGTCTGTCCTTGTAATGGAGATTCAATATCACAGGAAGTACCTATCATCATGTAATAAGACACATTTATAATCTGTTCGGTCATTCTAGGAGAACTTGAGACTTGTCGAATTTAGTATGGCTTTTTTGTCCATTTCCTGAAAACCGGCCTTGGTTCTTTGTCTTTCCAAAACTCATATCTGACCATTTTCTGGAACTCAAAACGACGTTTTAATTAATTCGAAAACAACAGGCATCATAAATTTCTCATATTACGATTAAAGTTCCAGGTGACTATCCGTCTTTAGAAAATTGGAGGGATTAAAGGTCTTCCTAACAGATACCTTACCAGGTGTTTAACGAAACGATCCGTTGGCATTTCTGGCTGGGTCAGTTTTAATTCTTGCGCTTACAATGTTCATGTTTTTTATGTTTTCTAAAGTCTGCGTGGAAAACTTGAGGGGGAGGAGGAGGAGGAGGAGGAGGAGGAGAAGGAGTTTATAGGTTTTATATGCCATCGACATTTGTTTATTTTTTAATTGCGGGAAGCCGTCAGGAGGGGTAACTGTGTATGATTGGTAAGAAGCTTGTGTCACTTGGTCCCTCTATTGCTGATGTACTCTACTCATCTGAAAATGAGTTATTTCCTTTACGTGCGCATCTTGTGCCTGGTTTGGTCACTGTTTTTATAACCGCGTCATGAGAATATCACAGCGCAAAGAAAAAAAGAGTGAGCTGATCTTAAGAATTAGACTGCCTCCGTACAAAGTCCAAGTCAAACTAAACATTGGAAACCTGAGTAAACGATCTGTTAATTAGGACCCAGCTGGTGTGGCAATGCAAAAGTAAACTACCTAAAAGTCTTGATTGCTGCACAATTCTGGATTGTATGTGCTTAAATTATCAAGTGCCACCACCGATTACAGAGAGCTAACTGTACTAGCTGTAATTATAAAACGGCTTACTGTATAGCTATGCCGTCTGTCACTGAAAATTGCTCTTGATCTCGTCACGTATTATCTCGCTTCCTGTAAAGGGATTTCGTGTCATTCTTGTGGCCTATGTGTGCTCTCACAGGATGCCACTAGTTTCATGGGGAGAGGGGAAATAGATAGGGGAGTTCAGATCAAGGGAGGAGGTCCAAATCTTCCGGGAGCCTACAACGAACGTTTCAAAGGCATCCACAACACGATAGACACACAAGCAAAGCATCAGCTACTTCTTTATTAACTTATAGGTTCTCCAAATAGTCGTTGGCAAAGCATGCTTACAGTTAAAAGCGCAAAAGCTTGTTTTTCAGCCATAATATGAGAACAGCACACCTTAACTTTTAATCTCACGGTGCACTCGCGTGTCCTTATTTCATAAGTTGCAGATATTTCAGGGATCACTCATCTTGAAAAATTTTTTTTGCTTTAAGTTGATCTGTCGTATCTGTTTTGACATCAGTGGTTACCAGCTCTGCTTACAGGAAAATGATTTAAAATATCCTGACATAGCTCCTTGTGATTACACGCGTGTCTTAAGATAGGAAAACACCATACTGAATTAACCCGAATGTGCCTGTAGTTATTAAGGTTATTACTTTAACATACGTCACGATCTGCGCATCTAGCTTGAAAAGTTTAGCCTAAATTTTCAAGTTCCTCGTTTTTAATCCGTTTAAATCTCCATCCTTGTTCCTTGATAGTTTATTAGTATCTCTTTGATGTTTGTCTATCTTAGCAAACGACTATTTTAAGGTTTCCTTCAGTTTCAAAGGTAATTTTGTCCACGACAAAAATAACTCATCGTGTTGCTAAACTATGGAATTCTCATCCAAATCCGATGAAAACAGAACAGTCTCTTAAGTCATTTCGTAAATCTCATTTTACATTCAGTCTCCACAATAGCGTAGTAATTTTCTTCTATCGTGAAATTTTGAAATTCTTTTAAGTAATTTGTTAGCACGGCTTTCTTGGAAACCAATTCTTTGTAACTGAAGAGATACCG